TGGTGTCGGACATATGGGTTATTGTTGGACTTGTAGGCTTGAGCAGCACTGGGTTGGGATGTTTTCTTGATGTGCACTTAACCTATATAGAAAACTCTCTCTTATACATGAGTTTCTGTGGATGTGTTTCTCTAAAGTACCCAGACTAACACAGGCACACATCCATTCATTCATTCATTTAAATTGGGGGTTCATTTACATATGACAAAGGGCATGAGTCCTTTTATCTATCTATCTATCCATCTATCATCTTATTTTTTAAGGGCACAAATCTGAAGTGTAAAGGCCACGTATAAATCACTTGTCGAGTTGATGTAGGCTCATAGCAACCACGTAGGCCAGAGTAGACCTGTGCTCTGGGGTTTTTCTCTGATTTTTAAAAGTAGATCACCAGGTCTTTCTTCCAAGGGACCGCTGGGAGGACTTGAACTGCTCACCTCTCAGTTGGCAGCCAAGCACATCAACCATTTGCAACTCTGGTCCCCATGAGCAACTCAATGGTGATTGGTCGGAATTGATAGCTACTCATATTAAGATACTTCATGTTTATTACAACACTCCAAAAGGATCCTCTTTGGTTCCCCCACAAATCAGTGATACCCAGGTCTAGCCATCATCCTGAATTCTACCATCATAGATTACTTGTGCTTGTCCTTGAACTTCACAAATGAGTGGATACAGTAGGTAGTCCTTGGTGTCTGAATGGAATCCCTCTGTGTTACAGAGAGGAGCTGCAGGTCGTTTTCCATTGCTGTGTATGTAGTATTCCGGCACAGAGCCATCTCCTAAATGATGAGCCTGTTCTATTGTTTTTCTGTTTGTTTGTTTTCCCCATTCTATTGTTGATGCTCTTTTGGATTAGTTCAAGTTTTGAGCTACTATGGATACCTATTGCCGCTAGACAAAGATGCTGCGCCGGCCTCTTTAAAGTGCTGAAGAGCCACAAGGCTGCTTTGAAGTCTATGTTGTGTCTGACCCAAGGCTAGGTTTTTTTTGTTTTTGGTGTGTGTGTGTGTGTATGGAGAGAGAGAGAGAGAGATCGGAGATCATCACTTTTGCATTACACAACGTAAGCTACGTATCTGACCCTCCAATAGCTTGCCCCACTCTGCCACTTGGATTACTTTTCTCCCGACACCTTCCCTCCCTGCCCCGGTCCCCGCCAAAGTCGGTTTCCTTTGGTCTGAGAACTTTTGTCTTGATTTCTCCTTTAGAGCAGAGGTCTCATACACGACTACCCCTGCTGTGCTCCACCCGGTTCACTCCGCAGCGTGCCCTCCAGGCCCACCCTGCCATGAGGCGCGTCACCGTTTCGTCAGTACTCTCCAGCAATGCACAGCATCCATTATGTGGACGCACTGACGGCCATTTGTCCAGCCTTCTTCTGATGTGCTTCTGGCTGTCCCATCTCCTTGCTATTGCAAACGGTACAGCGATGAAAAGGGGTGTGCATACGTCTGTCCGTGTCATGGCTCTAACTTCTGTAGGGCCTATACCTCGGCAAAAGAGTGTTGTGTCTCAGGGTGTTTCTTCCCGCCCCTGTGTGCTTCTTTTTTAAGTGATAATTTTTTCTTTTATAATAGCTTTGTTGGCACATAATTCACACACCATACGATTCAAGCGTTTCTCCCTCATACAGCCATATGGTATTTCTGTTCCCAATTGTTAGGGGTGGCACCATGTTGGTTTCCACAGTGGTGGTATGTGACGTATGTCTCTACCTGTAATTAGTGGGCTGGCATGCCCCCAAAAGGTATATAGGCATGAGTCAGCAATATAGAGCTCTCAGACTCAGACCTCTCTCTCTCTGGCTCCCCTCTCTTCCCGCTCTCCCTTGTTCCTTTGCCCTCCTTCCCTTCCCCCTCTCTCCACGTGCACCACCAAGCTGGGCTGAGGTGAGCAATGCTACCCTGTAATGTGTCTGACTGCATTATTGTAAGATCTCTCATGCTCTCGATGACTTTAATATAATACTTACAGATCTCAACCGTACAATTGTGCATTACTGAACCCAGAAGTAGTATCACTGAATCCGCGATTAGCGGTGGGGGCTGGCCCCCCCACCTCCCTCCGTGCCACTTTTAATTTAATACTACAGTGGTACATTTTCACAGCCCCTCCAGCATAATTCTGGACCCCAATGTCTTCGCACCTGGTCTAGTATTTGTATTTTCTGTTTTATTTTTTTTAAACTTTGCTGTTACTGCCGGCGTCAGGTGGTCTCTCATGGCTGTTTTGATTTGCATCTCTTGGATGGCTAGTGATCGTGAGGATTGCTTCAGATGTGTCTCGGCCATCTGGATGTCTTCGCGGATGAACTGTCTGTTCATGGCCTTCGCCCATTTAAAACAATGGATTCTTCCTCTTCTTGTTGTTGCGGGCTTGTGGTTTTGCACGGATCGAGGAGTTTAGTCCCTGTCCAGTGTGTTGCTGACAATTTTCTTTTCAAGTCTGTGGGTTCTCATGTTACTCTCGATGAAGCATTGTGGCATATAAATGTCCTCACTTTCGTAGGTCACAGTCCATCGATTTTGTCTTCTGTGTGTTTTAGTCATTACAGTTGATAGTACATTTGTGCGCTGTGTAGGGCCCTGAAGTTTGTCCCTATTCCCTATATTATGAATTGGCAATGACTCGATGACAGTGGGTTTGGTCTGGTCACTTTCCCAAGATAACTGCTTCAATTTACACTCCCACCAACACTGCACGTATCTTCCACTTGTGCTACATCTTTGCCAATGCTTAAGAATTGCTGGTCCTTTGAGCGCATTGTGATTTTAAGACAGTCCCTGGTAAGAAAGGACGCTGTACGTTTTTAGGCATTTAATAACCACTTGGGGAGCCCTGGTGGCACAGGAGTTACCCGTTGGGCTGCTAGCTGCAAGGTCACCAGTTCAAAACCACCAGCTGCTCGTCGGGAGAAAGACAGGGTTTTCTACTCCTGTAAGGACTCGCAGTCTTGGAAATTCAAAGACGCAGTTCTACCCTGTCCTATGGGGTCTCTGTGAGTTGGCATCGATCAGTGGCAGTGAGTTTGGTATTTGGGGATATTGGCCACTTGAGTATATATCCTTTTGTAAAATGCTTCCTCCAGCGTTTTGTTCCTCTTTCCCCCTCTTTTAGAATTAGATCACCTTCTTCTTCTTTTTTATTTATTTATTTATTTATTTATTTTAACATTTTATTAGGGGCTCATACAACTGTTATCCCAATCCAT